ATTATTATATTTATATATATTAAATAAATTATATAATAATTCAAGTTAAAATCAAATTCTTTAACCATTTCAACTGTAATTGACATTATTAATATATTAAATAAATAATAATAGTTTCTTCAATAACATCAAATTCATTATGCTGTTAATTTAAAACGATCAACTGTTAATTTTTAATAGAATAGGTATGTTTAATAATTTTTAGTTTAACATTACTATTTATAAAATAACCCTGAAGATGCTAGATCATGAGAGTGTATATTATTATATTTATGTGTAAATTGTTATATTTCTTGTTTGTTGATTATAAAACGTCTATCTTGCTATAATTAGTGATGAGTCAAGTTAGATCAGTCTTACCTTTTTTATTTCTGGATTTTGGTTTTGTTTATTTGTTGTATAACTGCAAAATGTTTGATTTACATAATTATAAATTTATCTATCAAAACTATTTTAAAAAGTGAAACACATACACACACACACACACACACACACACACACACACACACATATATATATATATATACATATATATATATATATATATATATATATATATATATATACACATACATACATAAAAGATATACATAAAAGATAAAAACAAAGGTTGTAGAATTTGCTTCTGATGTAGTCTATTAGAAGCACTGTACAAATTCAATAAAACAATTGATTTAATAAATTTAAATTGTATAATTTTTGCCGCAGTTTATTATTTAATTTACTTTTATTAAAACTGCATGTTGATAGAAAACTCTTTAGTTAAGTTAAAAAGTCTTAATGTTGTATATGATGTTATTATTTTTTTTATTAATTCATAATAGTGGTTTGCATTCTGTACATCATTGAAATGATTTTCCATGTTAAATAAATCTTCGTTGACACATTGTAGGTGTATGTTGCTTTCAATTACAATTTTTTTCTTAAAACAATAATTATTTATTTTTAATAATCTTTCTGATTCTTGGCAGATCTGAAAATCATTAAAGTTTATTGCTTTTACCAGAAAATAAATAAATGTATCATTTTTATTTTAATACTCCTTTTGAGGGATATGTCAATTGCCCATTGTCTTTTAGTATGATGAGATGATTTGATGATTCGCTAAATATGTTTCTTCCGGCTGAAATCAAGCATTTTCTGCATATTTGTTGGGATTTGTAACAGCATATTAATTCAAAATTTTGAATGAATTTTGGAGAGGTTTACATTAGAAGTAAAAAAAACCTGCATTCTGCGCATGAGATGGTCGATGTTATTGACTTCACCACCCATCCTATACTCTTGAAAGCTCCAAATTTAAATGAAATGAATACAACTGATCACCTAATTGGCGCAAAAACTTGATGGCAAAGAAAACAACGTCCTACCTCAGGGGAACTGAGTCTCTGGACGCTAAACTAAGGTTGATTGATTTTGGCTATCAGTATACATTTCTTTATATATACTAGTTCATAGAAAATCATGATCAACAAAATTTTACTTGTTCAACGTTCTCGGGTGTGGCAGTGTTAGTCCACTTTTTTTTAAAAATTGGTATGCACGAGGACCAGTCTTGTAACTATCATCATATACTTTGTTAACTCTTTTAAATGGTATGAGTTTTTTATCTAGAAGCAAAAATAAACAAAAAGTTAGTCAAAATTTCAATTCATTTTGCTATGGTTATATAGCATAAAACCTTTGTATGTAGCTAATTCATTTTTTAATTTATTGCATTCACTCATAAGTTTTCTTATTGTTGCCTGCAGCAGTGTGATTCTGGACTTATAATACTTTGATTGCCTTTGCTGTTGCTTGATGAGATGGGCATCCATTGAGCAAAACATCTAAAAATGGTTTTAAATTGAAAGTAAATAGCTGCATTTAAAAATTGTTTATATATATATACATACACACACACACACACACATATATATATATATATATATATATATATATATATATATATATATATATATGCCCAATAAAGTAATGAAATTCTTTATATTCTGTATTTCTTATGACAAAAAGCCATTTTAACAAAGGCATCCTAATAATAATAATAATAAACCCATAATACAAAAAAAACATATTTTCCATTAGAATCAAAATTAGCATTTTATAAAATGTAATAAGAAAATGACCAAATCCTTATCGTTTTATTTGTTAAATATCTGATAGTAAGCCGGCAAATGCCAATGTTATTGTGTTGTATATTAATATTTGGTTTGAATTAATCAATATTGCTTCAGCAATCCTTTGTTTATTATATATAAATACTAAATTAATTGCCTCAGTTTATGTTGTCTTGGTTTTTGCCTTTTCAAATACCATCTTTCTGACTTTTTTATTTGACTTTGAAAAGGATTTTGAATCAAAATGTTTACTACATATATATGATCTTTTTCTTTCAAAACCTCTACACCTGCCATTCAATGCATTGATCCACTGACTTTTTATAGGTGATTTTTGAGGAATGCTGTAATGCATATTGCATTTTGTCAAAAATGCATTATTGAAATTTATATCTATTAATCCATGGAGAGAGGTCAAGTGAATCATAAAATATGCAAATGATATAAAAATATTATTAAGATCATATTATTACCTGTGCATAGATATATTTTGGTCTTTATATGTCCCATTACAATTTTTTACTATACACTTTAATGGCATTTTTAATTTAATAAAAGATAGAAATTATATTCAAAAACTAACTTACTGCTTATCGTCTGCTCAATTCATTCCAAAGATCAGAAATTTTCAGGTAGCATATCCAAAAAAATGTATACAATTATTTGACTCAATAGCAATATTTATTATAATTGAAAAAATATATTGATTATATTAAAATTTATGGTATTCCACATTATTATTTTAATTAATAATAATAAAATAAAAAGATTTATGTGGCTTGTTATCTAGTTCTAATTAATTAACCAAATATTTGTTGTTGATAAAAGAAGAAAATTTCGAAAAACAAAACTAAAATCCAAAATCAACGAAGATTTATTTAACATGGAAAATCATTTCAATGATGTACAGAATGCAAACCACTATTATGAATTAATAAAAAAAGATAATAACATCATATACAACATTAAGACTTTTTAACTTAACTAAAGAGTTTTCTATCAACATGCAGTTTTAATAAAAGTAAATTAAATGGCATCAAAAAATGGCAATATCCATTTAACGATTAAACATTAAATACGGTGGTTAGTTAAATCTCATAAATTAACCTAAAACTTCACGGAATGTTGAAAACGAAATAAATTTTAACTAACGAACTGAATGCAGATCGGCAAAGAGTCATTAACATAACTTCGGGAAGGCCAAGATTTTTTCTAATTATATCTCAGATTTTTCTAAAAATAAACCAAAATGCTCATGAATAATTAATTTTTAGAAACTTGCTTCCAGATGTAACTTGCCCGTTGAAAAAAATTTTCAATGTTAAAACGCTGGTAGGGCGCTTCCAGTTATATAATTCCATGGACTATATATGCAATTTGATGTTTACAATTTTGAAAACTTGAACAGTGCATGATTGAAATGAGATTCTTCATGGTTTTGAGCCAGGTAGCTCGTGTCTTATTAACTATAACAGCCTTGTGACGTGCAACTGAACGACTGATATAACTAGATGGAAAATTATTTTACCATGAAAAGAGGTAAAATTTAAAAAAAAAACTTTTCATTTTTTTTTGCTTGCTCACTTATCTACAGTAGCATTTTTGTAAAAATTTCACTATGAAACTTTTGTTGCTTATATAAATCAGTGTTTTTTGTTAATGCCAATAGAGATTCCTTCAAGTGTTTTCATCTTGTTTATTTCAGTATTTCATTTTGTGTTTCTTATTAATAAGCTTAGATTAAATTTTTTTATCTTTCATGAAATCAAAGTCTGACAATCGCAGAGACTCTCGCAATCTACAGGGCACGAATGACAGATGTGAATGCTCATAGATAGGCTTATAAAATCAAACAATTCGGACCACCCACTGCTAGTCTACAGTCCAAAATGTTTTGCAATTCAAATTTAAGTTGCTCAATTTTGTCAACTTAAAATCATTTTTTTTTATAATTTCAAAATGTATTAGCAAAATTTGATGTTTAGAAATGGGATAGCGTAACATAAGAGACAGAAAAACAGTTTACAATTCTAAAAAAAATGGAAAGAATTCAAAAATTTTATATTTTATATATATTTTAAATATTTTTTAATTTTATATCTTTACAATATTCTATAAAATCTACCAATTCAAAATAAAATTTTTTTCCGAATTCATACTGCTAATAAGTTCATATTTCGATTTCGAATGAATCATCATTGATTATTAGTTGATTTATATAGGGAAATATTGACTTTGTAAAAATGAACTTAGATGGAAATTAGGTGTCAGATTTCTTTATTGGTTGGTCCATCTTCGTTGGTTTCCTTTTCTTTATCGATAGCATCATATTCTTCTTTGTCATCATCGGTGATGTCCTTTTTTATTTTCTTAATTATTGTGTTTAGTTTAGTTTTTATTTGAGGAGTGGGATCTTTTTGATGATTCAATCGGAATCGAAATATGGCCTTATTTGCAGCATGAATTCTGAAAAAAAGTTTATTTTGAATTTTAATAAACTAAACGTTCTCCAAAAAACTTTAGTGAGGAAAATCGAAAAAATGAACTACAAACATATTAACGCCAAACATTCGGTAAAACTTATTGAATATTGTAAAAATTATGGTCTTTTACCAGCATGCTTTTCACAAAACAATCGAATTTATAGAATTTATAAAATATTGTAAAAATTATGGTCTTTTACCAACATATATATATATATATATATATATATATATATATATATATATATATATATATATATATATATATGTGTGTGTGTGTGTGTGTGTGTGTGTGTGTGTGTGTGTGTTGGTAAAAGACCATAATTTTTACAATATTCTATAAATCTATAAATTCTACCGAATGATTGATGTTAATATGAAAATTACATTGGGAATTAATTACAAGTTGTTCTGGAATGGCCAAAAGACGGCCCAAAATGGAGTGGGATCTTCATGCGGGATTCACTGGCACAAATTGTACTGGAGGTCACTCAAATCAGCTCACGCCTAATGCTTCAAGAATAGGGGAGAACACATGATCACATATAGAAGAGGGATGTCATGCACACAAATTGACTTTATTGTTGTCAGGCAACAACACAGACGACTATTCAGAATTACCAAAGTCATTCTAGGCGAAGCATGCATCCCTCAAATCGATTGCTGGTGGCCAATATGATCATGGAACGATCACGCCTTGTGACTGATCGAATGCCTACTAAAATAAGGACATGGAAACTGAAGAGCCTCATGTTCAGGGAGAAATTCTGGATTGTCTGGAGAAGATAGACATAACCTGGAAATCTTATCAGGACACCCTAGTGAATGCTGCAACAGTTGTATGTGAAAATCTAGACCAAAACGCCAACACAACCACGAAACTTGGTGGTGGAACCAAATGGTGCAAAAGGCTATTGCCAGCAAGAAAGATCGAAAGACATACTGATCACAGATCACAGAAACAAAATGTCAGGTTGCGATAGCTCGTCTAGGAAATCAGGCTAAAAGACTGAAAAAGGGTATAGTTGGTGCCACATGCAAAAAGAATAATAAAGGCACCATAATAACCTTGCAGAATGAAGTGAAGGATCACTGGAAGGAATACTTCGATCAGTTATTAAATGAAACAAACCCTATTGAGGTGGACTTTGAGGCACTTCCGGTGGAAGGGCCGATTCAGGGCATCACAGTTGAGTAGCTTGCGCTGAAAGAAATGATGAAAGGTAAAGCATCTGGTCTGTCTGAACTTACAAATGATATCATCAAGGCATCTGATGGGGGAGGCTTCCGAGCTCTCTTACACATCTGTCGGGAGACGTGGAGTAAATCGATACTACCAAAAGAATGAAACAGTAATACAACTGTGCCGATACATAAAAAAAGAAGACCCACAAAAATGCTCCTCATATCGGGGGTATATGTCTTCTGGAACACCCCCTGAAAGTTATTGAAAAAGTCATTGAGAGAAGACTGTTGTCGTGCGTTTCAATAGGTGGTTACCAGTACGGCTTCATGGCAGGGAGATCTACCATTAATGCTATCTATATCATTCGTCAACTACAGGAAAAATACTTGGCAAATGGTAAAGCAAAAGCGACTGTTCCATGTATTTGTGGACTTGGAAAAGGCTTTTGACAGAGTGCCACGTGAGGCAATCAGGTGGAGTCTACGTAGACAGCTTGTTCCCGAATATCTGGTAAAGCTGGTCATGGCAACGTACTCTAACACAAAAACTCTGGTCAGCACAACAGCCGGTAACACGAATAAATTTGACATTAACCCCAGCATCCATCAGGGATCAATATTCGGCCCCCTGCTCTTCATCACGGTGATAGAAGAAATAACCAAACCGATACGCTCAGATAACATGTGGAATGTGATATATGCAGATGATATCTTCCTGACGGCAAAGTGGGGCTGGAGTTGGAAGCAACTCGATCAAATGCCTACGATGTCAGCATTGATGTCACAGACGATGCTCGAGAATTACCGGCTCCTTAAGGAAAGTGACTGATTTTGTATGCTCCGCCAGCATCAATCCGCGACAACGGGGCCCAGATGATGATACGATTACCGGGATCAAAATTGTTACTTCATTTCAGTATTTTGGAGGTGTGCTGGATTGTACTGGAACAGCTGATGCCGCTGTTCGTGGACGCATACTTGCGGCGTGGAGCAGATGGCACCTCCTTGCCTCGGTACTGATGCGGCGTAGCATTCCTCTACCGCCACGCTCAGAGCTGTACAATACAGCCATACGTTTCGTTCTGATGTATTGTGCCGACGTGGCCGATGACAAAAAAACTCGAGCTGACATGAAGATGATTCTTTAGATGCAGCATGTTGACCTAAGGGACCATATCCACACAACAGAGATCCTGAACCGATCGGGACTGTGCACGTTGAGGAATGCATGTCGTCGTCATCGCCTACGATACAATAATTTCCGTTACAGAGCACCAGGTGCCTGTCACCCGCCCAAGAGGTCGCCCAAAGAAATCCTGGACGCAGACCATACAGGACTTGAAAGTATTTGGTCTTAAAGAGACAGACGCAATGGATTGGAGACAGAAACTGGAATAAAAAGTTCTACCTATAACGGATGGAGACTATAAAGATAAACGAGGATTAATATTGGGAAATCAGGCTTCATCTTGTGTTCATAGCATATCTAGAAAGAATACAATCGGAATGATATTCTGGACGAAATAAGTGAACCAACTGAATGTTTTTTCATACATCAAAACTATCAGTTTCAAAAGATTCATGTAATTAACATGTTTAAAAACAAATGCGAAGTAATAAACGGAGAATAAAACAAGTAATATGCAAGCATACTTTTGATAACCCCTCGAAGTGAAATTCTGATTAATTCAGCCACGACACAACTATGAAAATGACAAAACCCATTTCAAAATAGCAAATTCATCAACTCTCTTCAGTCACATAAACAACAAATTATTTCACCGACGGTTGCACGGGCGATAGTGCGTTTATCAAACTTGAAATCAACAAGCTTACCTGTCTCGTAATTAGGTAAAAAAATTTTTAAACAATATCTAATGAGTACGAGGGTTAGAGTTATTGTTCTAATTTATTATCAGCTAATGATGTGAACTTTGAACTAGCGCAAGTTGCCTAGCTATGCATATTTTCGGTGTCACCATTTAAATATAAATATATTTTAAAAAGTGTAAATTGTTACATGTCGAAAAACAAACTTATAACAAAGCTACACGTAGATTCGCATTCCATAACACGATGAGCAAGTACGGAACAAACATAAGAAATAGATTTTTGTTGAATCCTGACCACGTATTTCTGAACCATGGATCGTTTGGAGCGGCCGGTATTGAACCTCACAATCTTCGAATCAAGTAGAAAATATTTTGAATACAAGAATCTTGAATAAATTTTTTCTATTCTAAAAATGAACTCAAAGATTAATCGATGAAATGGAATGTCAAGCAGATGTTTGGTTTAGACAGAAGATTTGGCAGACTTGGAATGACAACTTGCGGTCCGTTTCTGAATTTGTTCATTCAGAGCCAGAAAATGTAGTGTTTGTAAGCAATACAACTACAGGTTAATTTTTAAGATTCTCATTATTAAAGAAAAATTACTTTGCTAACAACCTTTTGTGTTGATAGTAAGGATATCATACAACTATTTAATAAATAGTTGTATGATAAAATGGGACATTCAATAATTTATTTCATTTACATAAATGTAGAATTTTCAAAATCACAGGCATTGGTTGTGTTATGAGGTCATTGAAATTTAATAAAGGAGATGGAATTTTGATGTGCAATTGGACATACCAAGCTGTTAAAAATATAGTAAATTATGTGAAAAATGAAATTGGAAGTAATAATTCTTTTTTTAAATTGTTTACTTTATTTTTATGTAAAACTTAGCAAACAAAAAAAGCAATAATGAATTATTTTCCAGATATCGAAGTATATACTGTCACTATTCCTGAGGACTTTGGAACTTCTCAACATTTTGTCAGCTTGTATGAAGAACAACTGAGAAAACACAGCAATATAAAGCTTGTCATTATAGGTAAAATTTGTATGAAAATTATTACATTTAACTTTTCAGTTCAGCTGTGTTAATCATTTCTTAACCAAGACTATATATCAAGTGTACCGCCATGTTTGATGCCGCTGACTGAATTAATAAGCATTGTTAAAAAATATGATAAGATGGTCCTTGTGGATGGTGCTCATGCACCAGGTCAAGTGCCTCTCGACCTTGAAAGTCTTGGATGCGATTTCTTTGCAGGTTCACTTTCTCATTTGATCCATTATCAAATAATTTGGCAGTCCTAATCCCTTGATTGCAGTAATAAATGTTTGACTATTTTATATATAATTAACTGGAACAAAATAATTTTAAATCTAGTTTGAAAACACTAAAAGATTTCTATAAACTGATAAATCCACAGGAAACCTACACAAGTGGTGTTACGTACCTAGGGGATGTGCAGTTTTGTGGGTTGATCCAAAATATCACAAGCAGATTTTTCCTGCAACTATATCCAGATTTGGAAATGATAATAGTTTATCTCAATTATTCTATTACCAAGGAACTGCTGATACCACCCAATTCTTTGTCTCAAAAAGTGCATTGGATTTCTACGAAGATATTGGTGGCCACGTGAGGCATTTTGGTTTCAAATAACATTCACATTATAACTGAAAGAAAATTTAAAAATAATAGGAAAGTATTAGCAAGTACTGCACCTCGCTAATTGAGCAATCTGCAAACATGTTAGTAAAGAAATGGAACACTCAACACTTTCCTCTTCCAGATGACATGAAAGCCCCATTTATGAGAATCATCAGATTGCCAACTTTAGCAAAGTTTCCGATAACGCCAAATAAAGAGGTTATTTTTGTCATATTTGAAACTGTAATCATATTTGGAACAGTCCATGTGGAGTATCTCTTCAAGCCTTGACTTCTTCACGAGCAACAAATTTGTGTTGCAATTTTACACATGAAAATCATTTAATGCTAAACAATTTTTTTAATTAAAGATTTTTGCATGTTCCATGCACTAAAAAACCAATAGATGCCAAAGAAACCAAAATTTTTTATATTTTCAAATTCCTCTGTATTTGCACCAAAATTCATTGTAGAAAGCCCCATAGAATAAAATGTCAGGGATCAAAATTAAATTTTGTATAATATGTCAAAATAATATGAACCAATGTTATTTGTTGCAGAATTTTACTGAAGACGTATCAGATATAATGAGCCACCTGTGGGATGAGTTTAAAATTCAGACAGTGTGCATTAAGATGTACAACAAGGCCTGGATCAGATTGTCTGTAAATGTTTACAACACGTTTGAAGACTACGAGAAACTGGGTGACGCCATATTATCGATGGTTCTTTAGAAGAGAATTAACAGGATATGATATAACGCTTATACAATTAAAATAAAAATCATGGGATGTAACATTTCGATAGTTAAAACTAAAAATAACGTGTCTTGTGATATTTCAATAAAAAATTAAAGAGACGATCAATGAAAAGACTTCAATTTTAATTTGATTATAAACTTATTTGCTAAGAAGCTTGTTAATGTTAAAACACTAATACAACGTCGTGAGAAAAAGGAGTGCTGGTGCGATGCTGCATTCTATCAATTATTAGTGCTCCAATAACAACTTTTTCAATAAAATAAGTTTATTTACTGGAATCAATGTAAAAAGGATGAGCAATTGTATTAACTAAATGAATGAATCAAAAACCATTCAATCAAGTTTCTTATAGGCGACAGATGTGGAAACTTTGTGGATGGTTGTGTCATAAGATTTCAGCCTCAATTCGAGTGAATTGTCAATGATACCTGCCTCTGTGATCTTCCATGTTTCGGGCACTGCCTGGCTTTTGTCGGTGTATATCAGAATTTCAAAAGAGCCTGAAAGTAAATTAAATGGCATATATTTTTTGGGGTACATTTTATTTATTTAAATAAAAACCAACACGGGCAATCATAAATTGGCAGCAAAGCATTGGCAGATAAAATGTTCCTCATGACATGCTGAATTTCTTTGCGTACGTCAGCCTCAGTTTTTTCTTTTATACTACAAAAATAAACATTTTAAATGCTTTTAAGGTATTCTTAAATGATTTACGTTCATTGTATAATTCAGGATTTTCAATATTTTTCATGCTAAGATAAAAAACATTATCGAGGTTAATATTAATGATTGAAAAAATGTGATGCATGAGTGAGTCCCAAATGATAGAATGATTCAATATCGAAAACTTACCGACAATACCCATTTTCGTAATTTCAAAAATAAATAACGCCAACAAAAATTAAATAAGATTAAAAGGTTATTCCAGAACCAACCAATCGTATTTGACATTTAACATTTTAAAAAAATTCAATGAAAAAGGTATAATGCAGAAAAAGATCTAACGTGTTATGAGTGGCTGTCTTGTCACACTCAACATTGAACTGCCACCTTTCCATTATATCTCCAGTGTCGACGCTTCTTATTAGGACAACCAACTTTTGTAATGTCAACTTTTCAAGCCACTCTAGTTAATTTCAAATGTCATAATATATTAAAATAAATCAATTCAATTTTGCTGACAGTTAAACAAGAAATACCCATTGAAAAAACTTGAAAAATAGGCAATACGAATGTAACTGAGTTTATACTTTAAGCCAAATGCTTTTAGGACCAAAATTTATTAACAGATGATTGAAAATAAAACAGCAAGCAGTACAAACAAACAGTACAAACGTGAGACCTTCGATGTACTTAGAATGCTGGTCGAGGTAGTCGCTTATTTCTTTAACTGTTGTTACCATCAATGGCACTCCAAAATCAACAACTCTTGTGAACATGTCTTCTGGGTACAAACCTCGCTGGTATAAAATGCTGTTTACTCCATAACCTTAATTTTATAAGAAGTTCATTTGAAATTTAGAAAGTATCAGTATATATAACTAATAAAATATTGACATAAAAATGTTATGGATAAATTTTGATGAAATTAAATAAAATTAAAATTTAGTACAATGAAGAAGTCGACTAGCTCAACAGATAAAACCACATACAACAGCATGCAGTGCACTTTATAATTTAATTAACAATCCCATTGATAAAAAAATTTTTCATTTTGTATTTCTATCTAATCAAATTTTTAAATTAAAGTCTTCCTTCTAATCTATTTGAAACAAGAACTACTTAACGTAATAGCTTACATTATAAACTAAAACAGAAGATTTTTCCAAATATTAAAATTACAAAACCTAGTCTTATTTCAACATATTTTGAATTTTCTTTTCCCCAATTCGTTTTTTATAAATTTTTTGATAGTTTCTTCCTATGCGTGATACTTAGCAATATTTGTCTAATTACTTTCAAGTCTTAAGTTGACCATCCCTTTTATTTTATGACTGTGTCATTGTCATATGTCATTGTCTCATTGTTTCATCCTTTGCTGCCTTACCAAGCCCTTCTCATTCATTTGATCATAAATATTTTTCAATTTGTACTGTTTGGTTATCTTTATAATTCCTTAAATTACCCTATTATGCCTTATTATTAATAACAAGACAAAAAACTGGAATGCAATTGTTGATGAAAATCACAGCAAGTTTGGCGTTAGTTAACATCCTAATTAATTATTAACTAACGCCAAACATGCTGTGATTTTCAATATTTGTTGTATATTCTACAAAAAATCATTACTAGGTGTATTTTAGTTTTGAGTGATGATGCAAGAAAGAGCCAAGTTGACAACTCTCCATCATTTGCGACACAATGTTAGTATCAGTAACCCAATTCCTGTGCCATTGAGTTTGAGTGAAGTGGAAATTCCAGAATGTTGCAAAGTAACACATGATGGCCCAAATTTTGTCTTATATAATTCTGGCAAAGAATTAAACAACAGTATATTAATTTTTTGGACAAATGATAATCTCAAACTCTTGGAAACTGCAAGTCATTGGCTTATGGATGGGACATTTAAAACTGCACCTGCATTATTTTTTCAGGTGTATACAATTCGTGTTGTTGTTTATGGACGAGTTATACCCAGTTTTTATGTGTTGATGCAAAGCAAAAAATGAAGAAACATATAACAAATTATTTAAAACATTAGCTCTGCTTAACCCCTTGATTTCCAAAAAATTTATATAGCATCCTTTACTGTTAGGGTCATTTTGACCCTAGCTCACATTATTATATATTGTTAATATTTTGTTTAAATTACTGCAAGTTTAATTTTTATTATTCAAACAAAAACAGTTAAATCAAAGTTATATTTATATTAAAACAACAACAACAACAAACAAAAACTTTTTGAATAATCACTCTTTATTTGGCAACCATTATTTTTTTGGTACCTCCATTCAACTTTTTCTCACAATAGCAACAACAGTTATAAAAATTTGTTGTAAAATAATTTTCTTGCCACTGCTAAACACAAGTTGTATTTCTACCAATTTATTCCAGGTCAACATTTAGTTGCTAGTGCTATATCCCAATTACTACTAGTAATTTAATAAATAAATTTTTGAAAAATTGATTTAAATAAATGACATAGCACATAGTTCACATTAAAAAACAAAAAAAACGGTTAAACAGTTAAAGTTATATAAACCTAACTTTTTAAAATTTTAAAACTTAAATAGAATTTATTATTAAATTATATTATGAAATCAATTATTAATTTATCATTATTAAAAATTAAAATTTAATTGTTAATCTCATTTCTAAAAAAATTAAGTTTAAAATTAAATTAATTATTAAATTAAAATTAAATTTTCTAATGATTGTATGTAAGTAAAAAGTAAAGTCAAAAGAAAAGAGCTAGACTTGCCAAAAAACTTTGCAACGATTTGTGCCGATCCTTTTAATGTGATTCCAGTAGCCAAGGCCTCCATTGTTTTCAGATTTTTTCAAATTTGACAAGAAACAAAATTAAAATCGGAATCGCAAAAAACACTACCGCACATTTGAGCGAGCGCGCTTGATATCGAGATTAGTTAGATAAGTGATTTAAGAGATGATGAATTTTTCATGGGAGGTTGAAAAAGAATAATTAATATTATTATTTTATGATCATTATTGATATTATTTAGATAACATTGTAAAAATTCTCGTTTTATATCATGAAGCCAACAGTATAAACTGTTTAAAAAAACGTAGCTAACCTTGTAAACCATAATTTAGCGATGTTGGATATTGTTGAAAAATGCAGGAAATGTCGTAAGAGATTTCCTCACAGCTCACAACAAATAGCATACAAATGTCATCTTGTTATGATTAAACCAGATTGATTATGACTGAATAATAATCAAGCACGACGATCTCAAATCAGATCAACTATAAAAATAAAAACGAAATAAAAACTACTCGTTTCCTATAAAACTGCAAAACGATTAAGTAAATTCATATATTTCCAGAGAGTAGCAAATCTAAGTGGGGCCGGGGGTGTCTCCCGTTGTGCGCAGTTTGTTATTGAAAGTCAATAACACTCAGTTTTTAGACAGAAAAACACTGAATTACAAAATGCCCAAAAATTGACGTGATAAGCAAAAAAATGCCGCCAGCCTAATTTTGGCCACATTAGTGAATATTTCAAAAAATGTTATTATTTTAACATTATTCACATTTCGGTCCTCCAGTCAACGTTGTATAGATCCGCCATTGGAAAAAACAATTCAAGTCAACTGGCTGAAATGTGGCCCAAGGGGGAGCAAGACGTTGGATGAATTACGTGAATGATATCGATTGGATAAGGCATATCCAATCGATACCATATCATTCAGGAATTTTATATGTTTAACAAACACCATATCATTGAAATAAATCATTTTAATGATAAAAATAAAAATTTTCTATTTTCTAACTTCATTGCTATATAAGTCATGATTATGACTGTAACAAAGCAACAAAGAAAAATGCCGACTGTTTATTTAATATAACTTTCTTGCTATATCGATGATGATTATGATTGATAAAAAACATTAAAGGACTATGAACTCACCTTTCTTTCTCTCTTTCTCTCACTCTCTCTTTTTCTCTCTCTCTTTTATATATAATGTGTGTATAATAACAGCAAATTTAGCCATGAAACTTTCGTCAACATATTTTGTTGAATTCGATATAAGTTATCAGATTATTACGTTTTCTAACGTTCACGTATTCACGGTTTTCACTTGTTTAACTTAGGGGTTTCTAACCTTGCTTTTGCTTCAATATTTTTAGAATTTGTTTTTCGGCATTGCACGTGATATACTTGATAGAAACTAAACAATCTGATAACTTTGGTCAAATTCAATATAAAACACTTTCATTTTTGTCCGCTATTATAAATCCAGATGTTGGCATGTATGAAAAGTGATGAAAAAACACAAAGATACACAGACTTTTGCTTCATCGCTCAAAAATCAGTTTATTCAGTTTGTGTCGTAAAAATTAGAATTAGTTATCGAATGACTGAAAATCTATAGTTAATATTTTTTGTTTTTTATTATGCTATACTAACATTGTAGCACCGTTTCAAAAGTTTCTTTCCTACTTTCCTACTTACTTACTTTCCTACTAAGTTTTCTATGCCACAATGGCCAACCACAAAAGCAATCAATGGGACAAACTACGGCGCGCGGGAGCTTTTTTATTTTATGTTAAGCGGCCCGTGAGGCCTTGTTCGCCATAAAAAGGTTCCGCAAATCTTGAAAAAATTTTCCCCTGGATCGAAAAAAGTTGCTATTTAAGTACATATGCGGCCCTTCAAAGGCAAAATAGTTCTCAATGCGGCCTTCACATCACAGCAAATGTTTGCCCACCCCTATGTTAAATGTTTATACTTTAGTTGATGCATTGCAGTTACATCGACGTGTAATAACACTGTGGTGCATTTTCTAGGCACACGTGTTAACTAGCTAATCAGTTCAATTATTGAAAGCTCTTCATATTGGCTTGGTGCGACAGATGCTCACTTCATACTCGATCTACGTACAACGAGTTTAACGAATAAGTATGCATTCAACAACGTTATTAAATTTTGTTATGTTAATTACAATTGTTTCAAAAAGTTTTCAAGTGAGTAAATTAATTTTCAAAAATTTTCAAACCACCGTTGTTACAATCTTTTAAAAACACTAATGATCTTTTATAATCTTTGAAAAAATATATTTTGGAAAATTGTTTATTTTTTCTAGGAAAATAATAATACAGATGAATTTATTCGCATAAAAGATACACCCAAAGTGCTTCACAATAATTTCTCAATCAGCATTGAATATTTGTGTGCCGAATCATCGTTCATTAAAATCCACGTTTTGGCTAGTATATTTATCATTTCATTCATTTTATCAACAACATCAACTCTCAACTTAGTTTATGTGGTTTAAGGTTTCTTCCGAAACTAAATCGAACGTATCGGTTTTTAGACTCATCAAAAGATGTTCACCAAGTTATGAAGCAAAAAATAAAGTGTTGACAGTCAAACTGCCAAGATATGTTGCTTATAAACCAAGTCAAGTTAACAAATTTTCAGTCCATCTTGACAGTTCAGCTTACGCAAGAGTTTGGCTTGCACCCACGCACAAAAAGTGGTTGACTTTTAACCTTGCAAAAGTTAGCGATGAAAAAAAATTAGCAGTTGAGAGTGCTTTTGCTCGATCTGAACGAATTGCGGATGTCTGCTATGAATGGTGGCTGGATGTGATGAACAAACTTCCATACGCACCAGTCTGTTCTGCGGAAGAAGGTGTTGAAATTTAAATGATAAAAAAATTAATGAAACAAATGTAAACTAATTATTAATGAATATTTGTTTCAAAGAAGTTGCGACCATTCTCAGTTACCCACTTGCATTGACCGGTCAACGCGTGGGACTCGTCAAACAGTTCAAGCCATACAGTAATAAAGTTCTCAATCAAAAAAGAATCAAAGAAATATTTGAACCTAAGTAAATTATGCCAATTAACTTTTAATTTTATAAATAAGCAATTTTTTTAATCAAATCTAGACAATTCAAGATAAAAGAAATTAATAAATGCACCATTACTGATTCAGATTTGACCACTAGCACGACTATTGATACCACACCACTGCTGGAAATATTATTTGGCATTTAAATGAAAAATCTTTTTCTGGTCACTCTTTATTCGAATGTTTTGAAGCACCCAATTTTGATTGATGTTGCTTATTCGAAAAATTGAATGCAACATATATATAAGATGCAAAAATAAAGCTAAGAAGAATAAATTTATTTTATTAACTTTTGAATGGTATGATATATACTGGAATTGTAATTGAACGTTTTTCTAACTTTTTGTCAATAAAAGTTGGATTCTTTTTTGATTATATACGCTTGATTATATAATTGCGATAAAATTAATTGGAAATAAAATACATTACTTACGATTGGTTTAATTTTGTTTGCCTAGATTTTCGTTGGTAATGTGGGTCTACATTGTTAACTACTGTCCCATGTCTCATCTGTGCAGTTTGATTCAACACGCTACGTGGGATGATAAATCTTTGACGCCTCTAGTGCTTATTAATAAAAAAGGTTTGAAAAAAATATTTGTTGAAAACATGTCAATAATTAAGTTTGTTTATCTTCTTTCTATGATAACGCATTTATAACACTGTCGTTTATGTTTGCATTACAATTGTTATAACCCATTATTTTAAAACGCAAGTTTTATTTATTGCCACTTCTCAATTGACGTTAGGACAGATTCACTTGGAAATGATGAACAGATCTGGAGAGCCAGTGGCATACCTGACAGGTGATGATTTCATCCTGCCAAAAAACACCTGGGTTCAATTCACTATAGCTTACAAATATCAAGTTCATTCAATTTTGTTGAAGTTATCCTTTTGGCTAAAACTCCAAAATTATTACCGTACTCACAAATTTAAACTTGCAAAAACAGATCTGGACCCTCTTTATGTCGTACGGAGAGAACTGGACTGTAAAGAAAACTGCTGTCATAAAGTAACGAGATTAATTTTTTTAAATCAATTTTAGTTTTTATTCAAAATTAACTTGACCATTGTAGTGGGTTAGACGAATGTTTTGCAATCACTTCAAAATAGATATCCACATTTGTTTCAACAAAGTCCGTTTTGACATTTATTTCAGTCTGCCACGAAATGTTCTTCTAATGGTGGATGACACGAGTGGTATATATTACTTTGGAGGCAATGACTTGCAGTACTCGTTTCAAGGCTACTTTGGTGACATCAAGTTCTACAGAAGACGATGTGTTTTTCCCGAAAAAGTTGTTAAATTACTATTATGTTTATTTTTTTTTACAAAAAATTTTCACAAATGAAAATTTTTTATTTGAAAATGTAAATATAAGACAAGAGAACATAATTTATAATTTGAACATAAATTTTATTGAATACTGAAAACATTATTTTTAAATTTTTCTATCATCATTGTTGAGCTGTAAAGCTGTAAAGCATTTGATAGATTTGATATTGGTATGAAAAAATAGAAATAATTGACCAAATTCATTGAAGTTACCTCATCCACCTGGCAACCACTTTATGTTCAAACTGAAGTTGAGTGAGAGGGAAGAAAGATGTCGGGGCTACATGAATCAAGTTTCTATGTTCAAACTTCACGCTAAAGAACTTTTTCAGTATCTAAAAGAGTACAGTAAGTTAGGATATTTCTATCTCCCTGAATCATGTTTTTCAATTTTTTACAATTGTACGTTACATTAAACACAAAGGCAAAAACATTTTAATGTAAATTAATTCTTTTTTAGAAAAATGTCCAACACTGTGGATGAAAATAACTGAAAGGAAATCAAGACCGAAAATTAAGAAATGCTCAATTTTAGAAGCACCCCAACCACATGAATTTTACAAGTTTATGAAAAAAAATGTAAGAAGATGGATCTTTGCAAATAAACAAGTTGACTTCGTTAAAGGTTCCGCTACGTTGGTTGAACAAGTCTTTAAAATTCTGGTAGAAATCACAGTTGCTTTGTTTGAATTTTTATAAATTTATCATGCCTTTTTAGACATAATTCTGAATGCAACTTTTAAAAAAGTGCAACAGGCAAAATGTGCACATGTAATTTTTTGACTTGCGTCATCGTCTGCTTATGGTCAAGTATATTTTACTGAATTTTTTTTAGTCCACATACGAATAAATTATATTTAAAAAATTATTTGATGGTTTTGTAATACAGGCTATTAAAAGTTCCAAACTTGTCATCACTACGAAAAATCATTGAACGTCGAAACGTAGTGAATGAATCAAAATTTAATGATTTCCATTGAAATTTCAATTAGAAATAAATAAATTATTAGGATTCCAGTGGATTGACCAAGATGACTGAAATTATATCATTGCTGAAACAGAGTAGTTGCTACGGAAACGATGATGCAACGTTTCTACTCGCAACTTTGTTGAACCATGGCCTGAAAGTTGATGTCGATGAAGTTCAGGTAGGTGTTTGTTTTTAAATAAAAAATGTTGTCATAGTAAAAATTTTTTGCTAGTGTAGTTTGTAACGCCTATTACGTATATAACTGTTTACTTATATAAGCCAATGTTTGTCAGCATTTTTAGACGTTGGCCTCTCTAAAAATTTAATTAACTTTGTGGACTCATCACGAGATCTTCGTAACCAAGCGGCCGATTGAATTGAAGTTCTGCAAAAGAATTCTTTTTGAATGCAGAGGCTGACTAGAAACGGATTTTAACCTGGTAAAATCCAAAATGTGATTTTAAAAACTCCAGGCAGGAAGTTGTACGAATGAACTCTTACGTATTCGATCATTGAGAGTAGGCGCAATTTCATTCGACCCATAAGATTTGAGATATTGGATATACTCAAAGATGTATATAACTAGGCAGCAATTATTATTGCTAGTGCTGCTATGCAGCCCACAAGCGGTTGATGATGCGTGCCTGTAGTTGGCAGGCCCACGTGTACATTAGAAGAATAAGCAATTAATGATTTCAAGTCAGATTGTCGTAAACAAATGGAGATGTGGTTGTATGGAACGCAAATTTTATTATAACGTTCAAAATTTATTATATATATAATTCTTTAATAAATAACTGATTTATATTTGAAACATTTCATCAAATATAATTTTGTACAATTTTCACAAAAATCAAAACTTTTAGTATTTTTTGCAGTAGAACAGAGCAAAAAAATTCTTAATTTTTTAATTTGTGCTTTTAAATATTTTCGATCTCTTTCGGGAGCGAAAATTTTGAAGTTTTAATACCGACAATTTGAATGGTATCGATCTGCAATGTTTATTGACATCGAAAGCTATTTGAACCAGGGTCGGACTAACAATTTAGCAAATCAGACAAATGATTGGGGTCCGTAATTTTTAAGAGCCCGCATTCTGCTCCACACTTGTTGCAAATTTATTTTTCGTTTTCAATATTGATATTCCAATTAAACGGTTTAGCAAACTTTTGTCGCGTGCTATTTGCACAAATTAGAGAGGTTTCTTGCCGCTTTCACAATAAAAATAATTAGAGCTACCCAATTTCATAAGGCAACCACACAAAATCGTGGTGTTTATATTTATATACCATACAGTTTAACAGAAAATTTTTGTAAAAATTAAAAAAAAATTAACAAATAACTCAACCAATAAACTTTTCATAAGTTGAAATCGTATGTATTGTTCAAAGAACTTTTGGAAGCTGCAGTCTTCTGGCAACTATTTTGCTGCGGGTGGTAAGCATTCAAGTTAACGTTCAAGTTATTAGTAAGATTTGTTTGTTATTGAAGGATAAAAATCGAAAAAATTATGTAATTTGTAAAACGGAATAACAAGAATAACTATTTAATTGACAAGAAGTCGAATATTTTAAATGCAGTTGACATTTAGTAATGGCATTTTCTCAGCTGTAATTTCTTATAAAAAAATGTGGGCCCAGATTTGATATTGTGTTCGGCTATGATTCGGACAAAGGCGTTAGATCGGCTCTTTTTAAAAATATTAAAAAAAGAAAAACTGACAAACGTTCAAGTCCCACTCCTACCTGCTGAGTGGCAGCATGCGATCCAACAGGCTCTCACTTCTCGCCTTGGCCAACAAGCACGTCTTCAGCCTGGATGGAATTCCAAAAGATCTCGATCAAGCATACGGTAAGTTAATGTTGGTTGGGTGATGAAACATCTCGGTCTTTGCCAAACTTCACAACTTTTTTCATCTTCTTGACAAATATTAGTACTTATTATTATCAAACTAATAATGTTTTCGAAAACCAGTTTATTACATGTCGCTGGCCTACCTGACTAAACAAGAATTAAACATACATGATGATGATGGCGTAAGTATTTCCTTAAGAGTTAATAGATTTGGCACAAATTTGTTCAATTTTATAAACTTTTAAATTATTGTATTGATCTATTAGTTTCAATGTTTTTCAATTTAATTAATTAATTTTTATTATTTTTTGTTTATTACCTGATTTAAATTTTTCTATTGTTTTACGACACAAATTAAAATATCTTGGATATTCATATCAATTTTCACATTTGAACATTTAAACTTTTTATTTTCGTTATTGGAAACGCTGAACTGTGCAGACGATAACTGAGTACGTTCGGCTGACTGACGAGAAAACTGTAAACTTGCAAACTGATGAAAACGAGGATCTCTTCCAGTGGCTCAAGTACCAGGCTTCAAACGGAATTCATAGTGCTCAGGTTAAATGTTGTTGTCAAATGTCTAAATGTTATCGACAATGTCTCAATCATGAAGGTTATGATCAATATTTCCTTTTTTATATGCACTTATAACAATAATTGCGTGTGTCACGAGGTTTTCAGTTTTATTCAAGTTCGTTAATACGTCCAAAGCAGATGCATTAACAATGAATGAACTTCAACATTTTTAATAGCTACCGTTCTCGTCATCATTAGTGGCACACTCACAAACGCGCCATCACCAGCGCTGTCTTCATCCTAATGCTTTACAAAATATCGTCATAATAACCATCGCCAACATGATTTCATTGATATTGACACAACATAGTACAGGACATGTGTGTTTCATTGTTGTCAAACTATCTTTCAGTAGTTTGATTAGTTGATCATTCCGACAGACGAGTTTGGCAAGAATGTTATATTGGGGATCGCAAGGTATTCAGAGAAACCTGACAGTAGCGTCGAATTATTACAAAGAGGCTACATCATCTGGCAGTGCATCGTCTCTTTATGATTACGGCATTCTACTTTTACGAGTAAGTTTCTGATGAATATGAACGAAATAATTTAAAAAAAATTGATTTTTGGTTTTTTTCAAATTTATTTTATGGAACTGCTTTCTGGCGTTTTGACTTGATTGTATTTTAGAAATTTGTTTAAATAACCAGGGACACGGTATAGCACAGAACGTGAGCGAAGCAGTTGAATACTTTGAACGAGCAGCCTTGAAAAACCACTCGCAAGCTATCAACACACTTGGCTACTACCAGTTGGTCTACAGGAAGAATTACACAGCAGCCGCCGCATACTTTGAAAGAGCATTCGAACTTGGCAATGCTGACGCCGGTCACAACCTGGCGCACATGCTGCTGTCCGGCATCTTTCCGGAGATAAACAGAGTTGAAAGAGTACATTTTCCATTCTGATTCACAATTTTAATCTTATTACGTCTTTGACTTTTAATTGTAAAATTTTAAATTAGATACTTCATTTAAATTTTATCTCATAAAAGTCTTATAAAAATATATTAAAACGTTATGTAAATTATTTTGCATTGATATGCAGATTTTAGCTTGGGACTTTTTTTCAACATCCGCACTTCGTGGTAACTTCGATTCCGGACTGCTGGTTGCCAAATATAATATGATTGGTCATCCGAGAACTTCAAGGTCGTCAGCATTATCTGTTGAGTAAGTTTCGCCAAATATTTTATTCAACGTGTATTATTTGTTTTATTGGGAAAAATTTTTTATTCATTTTTCATAAAATAAAAACGATTTAATTTATCAATAATTTATTACAACTTTTTTTGAATCCGTGAAAAAGATGGGCTAGGTATCTTGCAGAACAGAATCCATCCGTTGGAAAACTTCTCAAAAAGGGTGTCAAAGCTTTTAGGAAGCAAAATTGGTGCGATCGAGTTCATTGTTTATAAATTGTTACAACTCATAGTTATTCTAATTAGTATAAACAATCTTTAGTTTTTAATATATTAGTACGGTTATTATTTTAACAGTAAAAATTAAACACAAAATTTGAAAAAAATTCTATTTTATATAAAACATTTTTTTCTTTAAACTGCTTGTAGGTCAGCCGCTTTGGTGTACTACCTGATGGCCGCTAGCTCTGGTGTCGAAGTTGCTAATTTCAATTTGGCTTTTTTGTGTGAAGAGAACTACGTAAGCATATTCGAATGAGTTATAAACGCAATCAGTTTACAAACAATTCACAATTTAATAAAAAAATTGTTTGTCAAACAATATTTGTATTGGAAAAACCGTTATCGTTTGAATTGAACAAGTAAATATCATTTGTCTGTTTGTAGCATTAACTTAAAACGTCTCATTCTTGCATATGTTTCTGTAAACATCGAGTTCTCAGGATTACTTGACATCATCGATGAAGAAGGAGTGCGTCTGGAGGCACTACAACCTGTCATCTATCAGATCAAACAAAAAAGGCAACCCACATGGTTTGAATTCTTTCAACGAAGCTTCAAAAATGTTAATGATTAATATTGAAACATTCATTACTATTTCCAGCCTGGTTGAAAATGGCCGACTACCACTACATTCACAACAACACAAACCTTGCTGCGAAAACATACGGAGAGGCAGCCAAGCAAGGAGACCCACAAGTTTAAACTTCTATATTTTTTGCATCCTTAATATTTAAACAACATTCTAGTAACATTGCAATTATAAAGTCTACCTTGCTTCATCTACCATCGTTACTAAAATTTTAGAACTGAACTCTTGATGAATTCAGTTTTATTTTATAATTTTTTTTTTATATGAAAATGTTTTTAATTTTTAGTTCTAAAAATTTAATTTTATCGGAAAATGACAATTTCAAGTTTTCTTTATATAACCATTATAATTAGTGTTTTAAAATTTAATCTGGCTGTATATTATTGAAAAACGAACAAAAATTTAAGAAACAGCGCAAAAATCACTGATATGGTCGGACTGGCTAATAAATTCAGTTTACTTTTGATTCTGTTTACAAACAAGCTTATGGTAAAAAATATTAAACTATATTCTCAACGCACGGTTTTTTTTACACGTTTGCTTTTTTGCAGATGGCTAAGTTAAACCATATAATTTTTACGCACACTTTCGATTTAAGTTCATTGCCCGGATTGTCTTTTGAAATTGAACATTTATAAAAATAATTCATTATCAGTAATTATTAAAAACCTTGTAATTATTATAATTATTCATCATCATCAGCGTTTATAGGCGTTACTCCACATTTAGGGCTTTTCCAGGGCCTAAGGCCTCGGGTTTGCCTTTCTTTTATGGTGCAAACCTTTCCTGAGACGCAATCTTCAAACATCTTTGACGAGCGCCACTTAGGCTTTTTTGTTCAGCCTCACAAGTTTAAAATTTAGGCATAGACAAACATAAGTCTCAATGACATGCGTGCTTCTGAACAAATGGGTCACCGCTTACAACTTACCACATTGGAATTTGTGTTTGTATTTGTCTAAATGTTACACTATATATGAGGCACAACAAAAACAGCATGATGCTTGAGAAGGTTCTCAACAAAAATTGTTTGCAAAGATTGTATCTCAGGGAGGGTGTGCACGATAGGAAAAAACAAACCTAAAACACTAAGCAGTAGAAAAGCTCTTAATAGACGCGGTCCATAACGGAGTAAACCTACAAACGCCAATGATAATAATGATTATCTATATATATTCTATTTGTAAATAAAAAAATTTAAACATTCAATTTGAATAATTTAGTTTTAACTATTTTTAAATTTGTTGCACATGATATATTAATATTTGTGACAATTCTATCTATAAAATATAGAAAAAATAAAAAATATCTTGCGTAAAATGTTGTTTTTAGTTTGAGGATTTATAAGTAAAAAGCATAGATATGATTGTCGTATTAAACTTAAATAAAGCATTGGTCCTACCTAAGTTGGAGTACTGTATTTAGCTTTGGAATCCAAATTTACAAGAAGACAGACATATGCTTGAGAATATTCAAAAGAAAACAACGAAAATGATGTAGGAGTGTCGCGGTATGCCATATGAAGACCTATTAAAAGTTTTTGGTTTGACTACATTAGAAAAATGAAGAACAAGAGGAGATTTGATTCAGGCATACAAAATTTTTACTATGACGAAGAATTTAAAATTAGTGAAATTTTTTGATCTTAGGATGAACAAGGAGCATGCATATAAGCTCTTTAAAAAAGCTTGAGATTAATAGAGCAAAAATGTTAACTACTGAGTTGTCAACAAGCAAAATAAATTGAAAAATGAAATAATATGAGCAGAAACAACTATTAACTTTAAGGCAAACTTGGCAAAAATAGGATATTAAAAAAGTCTCAGAGTGGTCTTGTCCCAGACTCAGTCTTCTTGTATCACTATTATGTCTTTGTTATGTTATGTTATACTATTATAGAGAAGTTTGAAATAATTCAAAATTACAAAGCTTCTACGCGTAGTTTTGGGGCCCAAAATTTTTTTCTGCTAAGGGCCTCTGCATGATTTGATCCGTCACAGATTAAATGTACTGATTTTAGACATAGTACACTTGTTTTTTAATTTCATATCCATAATCACTCAGCACCATATATCAATTAAAATATATTACTTATAATAAAAAATATATTTATCCTGGACATCAGAAACACTAATATAAAAATATATGACATTAATATTCTACACTCCTTTTAAGTACTTTTGCATCACAACACCCATATTATTAACATCTTTCTTAACCACAATCGTCGTTTTTGCCCAAAATGTTATGAAATACGCACAAGAGAAGTTCCTGATTACACATGAAAAAAACTGAGTGTATTAAAAGCAGGAAAGTTGCAATTCTCCTTTGTTAACCATCCAACAGGCTCTGTTCAACTTGGGAGTCCTGGTTGAAGACGGAGTGGCGGTGATGGACGATGTTTGGGAGGAGCTGCACATCCCATTCCTTGTAACAAGAAATAAAGAGCTGTTGTTGAATCACATTTATGAAAAGTAGGTTCTACTTTGCGCTCTTTGAAATTAAATTATTTAAAGTATGTGTCAAATGCTTCTTGTCACGTTTTATAAGTGTTCAAATGCTTTTGTGGCAAAACCTTAAATTATTTGCAACAATAAATTATCTTACAAATGCACTACTGAATGATTCACTTAATGCTACTTAATGTCACTTTTACGTTCCTTAATGTTACTTAATTATATTATGAAATGTGGCATGAAACATTTGACAAAAGATTTCATATTTTTTGTTTCATATCTTTATTATAAACATTTTAAATATATGTTAGCGGATTTTATCAATGTAATGATGCATGTCTATCTGCAAAGTTCTAACTGTTATCTGAATTTTTATTTCAGTTGCAAGAATTCACGTAAGACAGAAGCGTACATTCCTTGTTTGTTGGCACTGTTAAGAATCAGACTTCAGTTCTTCTGGAAGAAACACGTCTTGAAAATCATGGTTGGTAGCTACATGCTATTTTATGTCATATAATCAAACTCATTCTAATGTACAACGATTGACTAGGGCCAAAAAATCTTTACAAGTTATTACATATAGAAAGTGACAATTCACAAATAATTTTTTTATAAATTATTTTGTTTAATAATTTATTAATTTGTTTGAGAGTTAGGTTCAGTTACATAAAAACTATCACCCACACGCAGAGCTCATTGCTGGCCACCTCAACAATCCTCCTCATGTTCTTCGCATCTCGTCTGCTACACAGATATAAAAACAGACATCGATTTATTAACGCCATCTGATGAAGCAATTAAACTTTAAAGATATTCGGTAGTCAAGTCTGATTATTTCATTATTATATATAACACTTAACACCGGACAGCCTTTATAGGAGATGGATTAATAGTTTAATAAACTTTTGTAATGAAGACTTTTTAAAATTAATATTCGATAGGTGAATATTCAATATTAAGTTTTGTGCATTAATGATGTAACTAATGAGAAAAATTTGTTTTTAATTTTCAAATATCCTATTTGTTCTTGAAATTCTCTACTTGGAACGTTTCTTAAATGACATTTAAAAACTAGTGTTTGGAAAATATTAATTTTTAACTTTATTCAACTCAAACAAAAAGGGAAACGTGGTTGATGATTTTGTTGATAAACGGTTGTCATTTGTTAACCAATGTAAAGACTGCTGTTATTCATTTTTTTTCTACAATTTTTTTAAAAGAGCAGCTCAAACCCAAATTAACTTCCTAATGTATTATTACATGAAAAGCTATTATCCAAAAAAGTACTAATATTAAACTTTTATTAACATACTAACAGCATGAACCATAACGAGCGTATGAAATTTCACTCATTATATGTAACTAATTTCGATTCTTTTCCCGTTCTTAAACTTGCTTGAAAATATGGCGGGAATATCGAAGCTGAACTGGCGCGCTGTTGGACGAAAAAAAACCGGTTTGAAAATTTAATGGTAACATGACACCGCCCTAGGAAAATATTATTGTAGCATCAAAGTTCAATGTATAAGGATGGATTTAAATAGTATTAAAGAATAAAATTATTTTGTACTGAAAAATTGTTAAACAATTGAAAAAATTAAAGCTCATTAAACAATAAATTCTATTAAATAATCGCCCGTAAGCCGATTAAAAAATGTACTGTATTTGAAAAATAATATTTCAAAATTGAAATATAAAATGAAAATCAGCATTAAACTTCAGGAATTACATTTTTGAAGAAACATCATGAAATTGCAAAATTTGTGCGATAGTTGAAGCAACTACAGAATTAACATTTTTTAAATTTTTGGTTTATGTTTACTTAAGACTTGTCATAAAACTTTTGAAAAACTAAGTTGGAAAAAATCGACATTTCAAAAATATTTCAAAAGTTTAAAAAAATGCTTTTAATCCAACTTGAATTTTTTTATAAACTTCATGTGCTGTTGAAATAATTTAATGGAACAATGAACACGCTAGAATGCGTTATGAGGAAAAATGAAATGTGAACAATGCGACAGTCTTCAGAGGAAAATAACTTAACATATCTACACCTAGCACGCCACATGGCTGCGCGTCTGCATGTCTGATTGCCTTTTGTTTTAATTTACGAGTGCGTGCAATATGTGTTTGTGTGTGAGTGAGTGAGTGAAAGATTGAGTGAGTGAGTGAGTTAGTGAGTGAGTGTGTGAGTGAGTGGGCAACGTTGGAATGATGCGCGTTGTATGTCGATGGTGCAGTTTATCAGGATGAATCCAGTCCAAAATAAATATTTTTAAGATTAAACAAACGAAACTAAATTAAATATGCAATCTTTTTATTCAAAAAAACATTATTGGATGCCAACTGACTTATAAATGAATAAAAGAGGTTTAATTAGAAAATTATTGTCGTTGAAATATAATTTTTAATTGGTGAATAATTAACGACAAGTCACAAAATTAATTTAAACTAAAAACGATTTTAGAAGAAATTTAATTATTTGAAAAATTCAACAAAGTCAAAACTGAAAAAACAATTTTTTTATTTTATTATTATTGAAACTCAAGCAGATATAATTTTTTTAGTGGTTTCTTAGTTAATGACTTCTGCTTGATTATGGGAATAATTAAAAAAAATTGTCTGACTTAAAAAATGACATACACCAGCCACCACTTATCAAACATTCCACTGTATCGTCACGCAGAAACACTTTTTTTTGGGTTTGCTATTGAAGTGTATCAACAACATAAAACATCAGTCCCTAATCTTATCTTTCGTACAACCTTGCTAATAATTTATATTTATTTCCTAACCAAAACATTTTTTGAATCCAGACAAACGTAAGAGGCAGCGATAAAATATTTATTATTATTTTAATTGAGGATTTTATTTTAGGTCGGCACTCTCCATTCAACCTCAATGACAGTTCATAACAACTAATCTTAAACCAGCCTGCCAATCAAACCTGGCAGACTTCAATTGTTTTTTTTTAATTTTTAAGAAAACATTTTTATTATTGGGTGTATTTTTTAAAATTGTAATTGAATATATAAATTACATAAAATAACACCGAATTGATAAGCACCGAATTGATAAGCAATTGGCCATTTTTGCTGAGAATTATTTTGTATAAATTGAAAAAGTAATATTTTGATTTTGATTTTTTGGATTTTTCACTTCACAAAAATTTGTTCTTATAAAATTATTCATGAATTAAATTTGTGGATTTGCAGGATATGCTTTGTTTTCCTCGTCTAATTAGTCGATCCAATTGTGCCTAACTAACCATCCCGTACTTTCTTTGCTCGATTTGATTGCATCTATTGTACTCAAGAAACAATCCTGGACAACATTCAGGATGACGACGTGATAATTTATTGTAACGAAGCCACGTCTAAAAATAACGGGCAAAATTATTGAAATAAATTATTTTTAAGAATAAAATTGATTAATGCTTTCATAACAATATTGCTCGTTTGTTAAAGATGAAGAAAATTTATTAAAAACTTGAAAATAGTCATAATTTTAAATATTAAATTGATTAAATGCCTCAAACCAAACAAACATCCAAATTAAATACTCAAAAGTTAAAATACAATTTATTTTGTCACAACTGAAGCTTTGGTAATCACATTGTTGTTTTTAGTATACCATGTTGTTCTTCTTGTCGTTTCCAATATACCACCGACCGGCCAATCGCTTTAATTTTCATGATGAAGTGGATGTACTATGTGAGGCCATTGGTTTTTCACATTGACACATACATTTTAGTTTGTAACAGCCGCTGAAAACTTAACTGTTGTGTTTTCTGGTTTGTTTAATTAAATCACTGAAACTGTGAATGTTAGACATAACAAAGGTTGCAGCATAAATACGTCCATTATACATATATCATTGTATGCAACATTTCACGTTTATTAAAACTTTATCGTAAAAAGCTATTTATTGAAAAAATCTATAAAAACATGTTTTAAAAATGTGAAATGAACGACTAGGAACTTTTTAAATAAATTTTTCTAAAATTAAACTTATTTTTTTAGTTACTTTTTCAACTATCTTATAAAAAATAGAAAAAATATCATTACATTAATAGTGCCTCAATTCATCTCAAATTACTTCTCAACATTCAACAGCTTAACATGATGTCACTTTTATTCCCTTCTTTTCATATACTTGCATTCTATCATAATTGCTTGCCAGGCCTTGTTTGCCAGTTTCAACCAACTTCTAATGCACCTATCCAGCTGAAATTTTTAGCGTATGTGTATTTTGAGATACTCTACCCGATGTGTTGTTGGCAGACTTAATTACATTAATTAACTAGCTAATTAATTAACTAATTAAATGTTTTAAAATAAGCTCTAATGAACAAATTTCTTTTTGTCATGCAATTTCTGCGTAAAACAATTTCAGAGGTTTTTTTCTATCAAAATGGCACTGATGGATGAATAAATCAAACGCACATATATTGTTTGGTATTATAACTTTGGACGTCTAAAAGTTTGAAGTGTTTTAAAAATCACTTGCCACTAACTAGAGAGTAAATAATTTGAGAGTTTCACAGTGAATTTTAATATTACATTAATATATTTTATAAAAAAAAATTCCATTTTTTAAAGAGTGTTATTTTATTTATGAAAAACCAGACTTTGAGAGATGCAAAATTTGTTATAACATGCAAAATGACCGTATAATAAAATGAAGGAAATAAACATAATAATATGAATAATGAAAACGAGTTACACATATAAAATAATATGTTTTTGAGTTAATATTTTTATGACGGTGAATAAAATAAATAAACGAACGATCGGATTAATAAATAAATAATAAATAATAATTCGTATAATAGAAAAAATTTAAAAATAAAAAATCCGCTATTTTTTTTTTATGTCAGTTACATCTGGGGCGTCTATAGAAGGGGGAGAGAGGCATTTGCCTCCATTTCAAGCTAGAGGGGGGGATTTTTTTGTGTTACATTAAAAAAAGATTCAAACATTTTAAACAATTTAGAAACATACATACATTCAACATAACTATGTTACATCGCGCTCATTGTTATAAATTAATAACTTTCAACTAGTTTACGTCAAAATCACTTTTAGTTAATTTTATGGGCGGAGCCAATTATTCTCGTCTGTTTTAAATTATCAACGAGTTTACATCGAAATCACTTTTAGTTTCATGGGCGGAGCCAAATATTCTCGTATGTTTTTATTAAATTAATATTGAATATTTAAATTCAATTTTGCGTCGCTTTAGTTTTATTTAAATTTTTATTCTGGATTAATAATTTTTTTAAAACAATGCCTCGAAATCACAAGTTTTTTTGTAAGTACAAATGTTTGCAGCCCGGTTGTCGCAAGATCATTTGCCAAGATAAGTGGAGTTTGCATTGCAGAAAAGATCATGGATATATGCATGTAAGGTTATTCTCTAAATCTAACTAAACAATTTGAAAGCGTCGTTTATTTGTGTTGTCTCATTTCATTTAATTTTTACACCCATTCAAATATCTTTATTACAGAAGTGAAGACATACAAAAACATTGTTTCAGTAAAAGACATCTATGGTAAATGGAAACCACAAAGCTCAAGCCAAACTAATTCACCATCTACAAGTTTAATGCCAGCAGGCAGTAATAATGATATGAGAAAATCAGATGATGATATTGGTGATGTTGTTGCTAAAGAATATTTGCCGACAGAGGCAGCTGAATCCAACAGCAACGTTTGTGATTTGATTCAATCTAACAATTTCAACTTGAATGCTCATAGTTTAGTTGAAAAAAATATTGAAAATAAATTTAATTATTGCGAAAATCTAAACTTAGCTTTTAGACAAAAATGATGCAGCTCAGTTTTGTGGACGAATATTGAAAAGGCATGAAATAACAACATGCCTGGCACTTGGTGTATATCAACCAAATGACTATTCCTATTCCGTTACTGATGGTCGCAGTTTCCAAAAAGAATGGTTTGAATGTGTAATGCCAGATGGCTCAAATTGTAAGAGACAATGGTTGTCTTACAGCAAACAAACTGACAAAATTTACTGTATTACTTGTATTATGTTTTCCGGCCCAAAAGGTTCAGTTGTATGGACAACATCAGGTTTTAATAATTGGCATAATGGTTTGCGGGATATCATTTGTCATGAAGTAAGTGCAGAGCATCGCAAAGCTGATATTGCAAAAATAAATTGGAAAAGAGGATTGGCCGTAGATGTCTTCATCGAGAGAAATAGAAAAGATATAATTCAAGAAAATAGAAAAGTTATGGTATGCATTTTAGATTGTGTTAAGTACCTAAGTGAAGAAATGATAGCTTTTCGTGGAAAAACATCTAATAATGGAAAGTTTATAAATCTTTTTCGAACAATATCTAAACGGGATCCAAGTGCTGCTGCATATCTGATGAAAGTTGATGAATCACATAGATTAAGAAAGAAAATGGCAGTTAATTTTCTAAGTTCCAGCAATATTCGAGTTGTTTTGACAACAATGAAACGAATGATTGTTGAGAAAATTGTGTCAAATATTGCAGAACAACAAAAAGCATGTCTTATTTTTGATAGCACACAAGATTTTAGTAAAAAGGTAGCAAATGTTCTTTTGCTGAGATATCTAGAAATAAATAGTAAGGGAGATTTGCATCCAGTTGAAAGATTGTTGGAAGTCTTGACTTGTGGAGAAACATCGGGCAAGATACTCAAAGGAAAAGTTATTGATATTCTGACTAAATTGAATTTTAATATGTCATGGGTGATAGGTCAATGCTATGATGGTGCAGATAACATGCGAGGTCGGTATGCTGGATTGGCTACTCTTATTCAAAAGGAGTGTAAAAAAGCAATTTATATTTGTGAATTTAGTGATGAATGGCGTTATGAAATGCTGTAATGAAATAAAAAATACGCTAGGACTGCTAGAAGATTTATATTCATTCATGAGTGGTCATCGCAGAAATGCTGTATTCCAAAATTCTCAAAGTAATTGTCAGCATAAAATGCAATTAAACCGTGTTAAACCACTCGCTGGAACAGCACAGAATCAGCCGTAGAAACGGTGATGAAAAGATATTCAGAAATATTAGCAAGTCTATCCGAGTTGGCTGAATCATCATTGAGTGACAGTGAAACAGTTACTATTGCACTTGTACTTCGTAAAAGAATGAAAATCATCCGTGTGATAATTAGCATGAAAATTTTAAAATTGGTTTATAATATTACTGGTCCTGTATCCAAAGCAGTGCAGGGTATATCAATTGACATGGCGTCTACAATAGAACTGATAAAAAACTGCATTCATCAGTTTGACATCATAAAAAGAAATGCTGATTTGACGTGGAAAACAATATGCAGTGAATCGAAATCATTTGCAACAGCACATGGCATCAGCCCAGATTTTGATTTTGAAAGACATCGTACGAAAAAAAAATGTTTGATGAACGTTGCAGCAACGAATGTTCAGTTGGAATGAATAAAATGAAAAATGAATGCTTTTTAATTGTTTTAGATGAGGTGAATCAACAAATGAAAAGTAGATTTGAGCATCAAAATTTTGTTTTTTAAAAAGAACTTTCGCTATTTACTCCCAAAACACTTTTAAGCAACCGTTGTGTTAAGGCTAGTGAAGTAGAAACTGTTTGTAACCAGTATAGTGTCAACGCAGAGGATGTTGCAAATGAACTGAACAAATTTAAAAAAGCATAAACGTTGCTAAAAAATGACGAAAAGATGGTAAACCTGTCTGCAGGTTCAGGTTATGACTCTGGCATGGAAATATTTTCTGATAAATCAGATGAAGAAGATGGCAATAACAATATGGCATATAAAGAAGCCCAAACGAATGATACTAATAATTGGAAAAATTGCAGTTTCATAAAACCACTTAATGTTCTTCATCAACTATCTGGTTACCGCAATTTGCTGATGCTATACAGAATATTTGCTTCTCTTGCTTTATCAAGTACCTCTGCAGAAAGAGCTATAAGTAAGCTGAAAATTATAAAGAACCGCCTAAGGTCTACCATGGCAGATGATTATTTATCAGCATTAATGATAATAGCAGCAGAGAAAGATATTCTTCAAACATTCACTGATGATCAAATAATAATGCAAAATGCATTGTCAAGCCTGTCTTTAAAGTCTCAACTGTTGTATAATTAAATATTAATTAAATTTCGGCAAAAGTTATATTTGTATATATCGCATTTTTTTTATTTTCATGGTTTAAAATTGTTCTTTTTTTCATTTTACTTACTCAACTTTATAAGAGAGTTTTTGTTATCTTATCAGAAAAAACATTGTTGAACATTAAAAAATTGTGTTCACATTTTTAGTACACATTATAAAATAGAGCCGGACGGACATGGGGGGGATTTTCGCCTCCCTGAGTTACATCATCTATGTTATTGACTAATGAGATATTTAAGCGTTTAGGAATGAGTATTTATTTTGATAAGGTTGACTGAGTATTGTTTGGTACTCTAAGTACTTTACAGAGCCGGATTATTCAATAGACAAATGACATGCATAACATAACAAAACAAAGACATAAAGTAACGAAGAGTTTAGTAGTGCTGCAAGAAGACTGAGTCTGTGACAGGACCACTGAGATTTCAATATCCTATTTTTCCAAGTGGGCGTTGAAGTTATTAGTTGTTTCGGCGCATATTATTCAATCTCCCAGTTTGTTCCAGCTGAAAAATGTTTGCTCTATCGATTCAGATTGTTTTTTTAAATATTTTATATTTATGTCCCCATGTTTTACTCTTCATATGAAGCTCAAAAAATTTCACAGATTCTAAATCCTCTTTCTTAGTGATGATTTTGTATGCCTGAATCAAATCTACTCTTGTTCTTCTTCTCATAATGTTGTCAAACCACAAATCATCAATCTGTCTTCATATGAAGACAGATCTGTCTTTTTCATAATTTTTAATAGCTTCTTTATAAGCTTAGATGAATTCCTGTCTTTTCTGTTGTATTTATTTTCTAGCCGCTGCATTCAATTTAATTCTCCTGTATTACCTGGTCTGTTACATTTAAGGTTTGTAAAATCTTTATATGCCTTTCATGCTCGTATTTTTTTCTGTACTTCTTCTGTTATCCAAGGCCGCTTTTTTATTGATTCTTTATAGTGTGGAACAAATTTCGAATCCAACTTTTTTATCAATTTCAGGAATAAATTGCTGCACTTCTAATGCTTCAATTGCTTTTTCCAGGTTCAATTCTCGGGGTTTAAATTTTATTTGGTCATAATTTACTTTGAAATAATTAAACCTATTGTTTTTGTTGTTAATTTTATCTGGTTGCTTCAATTTTAACATGAATCTTATAATTCGATGGTCACTGGTTAAAAAATATTTTCAAACTTCCACATTTTGGACATGATTAAAATAAATAAATAAATCGTGAACGTTGCATCCTTTAGTTTGCTCCCTTTGTTTGTTTCTCTACATGCACCATCAGAAACTTATCATTTATATAATCCAAAAAACAAATGTTTTACTGTCTTTCACCTGTCAATATGATAATTAAGATGCCTCATAAAAAATTTTTATTGACCGTGTTCATTAGATCCTGCTTTCCTCTATCTCTCTCTTCATTTGAGTTCGGAGGTTGATAACATACTCCAATCAAACACATAGTTTTTTTTTATCATTTATATTTTATATAATCCAGAAAACAACTTGCTATCTTTCACTTTTTTATTCTATCAGTCAATATAGTAATTAAAATCCCTAATCAAAATAGAAGAATTTTTACTGACCGTGTTCATCAGTTCCTGCAGTCCTCGATTCACCTTTTCGTTTGAGTTCGGAAATCGATAACATACTTCAGTCAAATTTTATTGTTCTTATTCTTTATTTCACTTTATCTATACCTTCTCCTTAAAAATGATATTATCTTCCATGTTATTCCTGGCACTAGCATTAAAAATGTTAGCATTAATACTGTTTTTTTCAAATAGCATAGCTACTCCTGCTCCATGTCCATGATTATTTTGATTTTTCTCTGCCTTAACGTGTATTCATTAATAGAAAATTTTCAGTCATACATGGTGTCGCCCAGGATTCGGTTATGCCAATAATGTACTCAGAGTTCTGTTTTAATCACTACAGTTTCATTTTGCGGTTTAGATAACTTCGCACCTAACTCAATAATTTTTTCAAAATTTGTACCAAAATTGTAAAAATTGATTGCAGTGTAATGCCTTTATAATTTTTGGTTTTGTTACTTAAGCCCTTGCTTATAAAAACAGAGGGACAAGGTTTTTTTAGGAAAAAATAACAAAAGCAACTGTGTTTCATAAGCCAATCGTAAAAAACTTAAGCGATTCCTCAATCAATCAACTTGGTTTGTATTTATTTATATCGAGTGTGTTGAATATTTGAGTTACAATTTGGTGTAATGAAAGTTGGTAGTTAAAATGAATTTATATTTTTTTTATAACGGATTGTAGTTGATGAAGTTGTTGTTGTGTGGGGCAAAACAAGGAAGAAGCAGTATGCTTGACGCGTGAGATGATGAGTCATTCTGTGATGGGCTGAATAGTTTGATAACTTTGAGAACGAAGAACATGTGTGAACGAAGTTTTGTGATGATGTGGTTTATACGGGGTGAATTGTTGAGTGTGGAGTTTAATGTAATGTCAAATATTTTTAATTAATTTGCGCGAATGAAAGATGGATGTTCCGAAAGTGATGTTATTTTCTCACCATGTTTTCAAATTTTTACATCTTAATTCCTCACGTGACATGACACCACACGACATCAAATGACATAGCATATGACATTACATAATATCACATGGCATCATGTGACATCACGAAATGACGTCATAATGTATTTAGGGGTATTCAATTAGCAGTTCTTTTTTATGAAACATCTGCTTTTTGGTGCATTGTACTGAAACTTAGTTTAAATAACGATGAAATAAAAAATAAAGTTGTTAGGTCCAATGCGTGGAAACTGCGATTATTTTCTAACTGTAAAAAAATAGTTCGAATGTTTTTTTTCAAACATTCAATTTTTTATTTATTTGCTTTTCATTGCAGCAAACGTCATGTCTCGTTGAATAATTCATTAAACTAACAATTGAAGTTCGAACTAAAAAGTTTTGTGCGGATTTCAATTACCGTAATGACACCTGGTCACAAGTGAGTGTTCGTTGGCAATGGAAATTGAACCCACAGAAACTACAAAAAGGATGTCAAAGAATATTTTAGTGATTTCAAAAGTTGACAAAATTATAAAATGTTTGCAAACAGAGTTTTAAACATAAAATTTGATTCAAATCATCATTTGTTTAAAGCCCTGCAGAGTATTGGCTGCTTCTAACATGTTACAACAATATTGATGCTTCAAACTGTTATAACAATACATGAAAAATGGGTGACAGTGATTTTTATTTAATAATTGTTAATTTATATTTTTAAAAATATCAAATTACTAATTCACTTAAATTTTAAGAAAACAGGATTTATAATCAAACTTACATGACTGCAAAAAAAAAACATTTTTTGAATCATGGAAAACTAAAATGATTTTATACATTTACGCTGTGAGCAAAAACTGTAAGCATGTTAATTTAAATTAATGGAATGTTACTCTGTGATTCTACTTTTTGAGACTCCATTTTGTAACTCGTTTGAATGCTGTTTTGCAAATTAGACTTCCATATTAGAAACAATGTTTAATGAACAGTTTATTTCTTGGTCTGATTCAAAAGTTGAAAATATTTTCAGTGTTTGATGCATTCATGGGCGTACGCAGAAGGCAGTTGCATGCAGTGCGGCTTTCGCATGCAATCTATCTGCGTTTCTTAGAGGACAATCATTTCAAAACTTCACTGAGACTGGTGCGATTGCTGCTAACTCAAAAACATTACGCATTCACATGTTTGTCAAAACAACATTAATAAACAAAAAGAAGCTCATTTAAATTTTTTTAATTTCTAACTTATTTTTTGTTTTGAAAAACAGAATTTCTTAATATTGCAAAAATTTTCATGCTAAGTGTACAAACCTGAGCAAATTGTTTAAAAAGTGTTTAAAATTTTTAAGCATATCCTTCCAATTACAATAAGTTTCTCAACTTTATGAACAGTTTTCCTTATTAAGCGGTGTGTTATAGCACAAAACACAATAGAACAGAATAAATAACCTCGGCGGAATATGCAAAACAGCCTCTTGGCGTTGGCCACGAAGGCATCTTACACGTGATACATGCATCTCATGTACGCAATTTGTCATCAACAAATATTAATGTTATTCTGCCGGAATCCATCCAGCCACCTCGAAATGAACAACAACCAATTTTCACAACACCGCTGAGCAGGTTGTTGCAGTCATGCATCGGACAGTAAAAACTGAAAAAGTTTCGCAACATTAGTTCTATGATAAATTTATTAAAATTGTTTAAACCGTAACAATTTTTCAAAAAATATTTGAAACAAATTGATTGATTGAACGTGTAACACGTTGTTCAGGCAGAAAATTTTGCGAAAAATAGGTTAATAAGCAAAGTCAAGTTTAGTTTCCTCCTGATTTTTCGTTTTGCAATATGACTCAAAATGTTGGCGGGTGGATAGGTTTAGGAGCCATTCAACGGAGTTTCAATTATTTTATGACTTTCCCTTATTAAGCGACGCCCGTGTCTTACTGTTTTGAAAATGACTCAGAACTCCACCAACATGTCGTTTAAAAATGAAAAGTTTATATGATTTGTGTTGGTTACTTATCTGTTTGCAACACAGCAGCAAATAATTTACTGGTTATTTTCAAATAAACAATTTTGAACACAAAAAAGTAATATGGATGACTAAAAATTGTTGATAGATTTTTTTGGTTACATTTTCTTTTTGGATATTTTATTTAAAATCAGTGTTGACAGGAAAAGCGCTTATTTTATCACTTCTTCCCACCAACGTCAACACGCTTCGTTGCATTATCACGACCAACCTTCATCTAGCAGATTTCCTATCCAGTTTAAAAGTTTTTTATAAGAAGCATTTTTTCCAATTTTTAACATCTATTTTTTACTAACATTTTTGCTTGTGTTTAAAATGTTGGTTACAACGAATGCGATTTTAAATGAAATGCCAAATGAAAAATAAGATGCAAAGTGGAGTTTACATTAACTTTTCAGTTGAAGGAAGTGTACGTCAGGAGATTCCTAGCATGCCCAGCCACACCTGGACAGTGCTCACTGACTAACTGACCACCCAACCGACCAACAAAAAGTCTGACAGAAAAACACATCCATCACAAATTTGTTGATCATTCCATCAAGCAAGCAGACGATGGCGAGTTTCGAAATTTTTATTCGTAACAAGATGATGGAACTGGTGAATGAGCTCATTTGTTTAGATTATCAATCTTCGTCATCGTCTGCGTTTATGTATTATTCAAACAACCAGCCTGTCGATTAAACTGATGAGACATAACTGCAGCAACGAGAAAACGAAATTATCAAGAACAAATAAATTATTTCAGCTCACTTCATTCCATTCCACAGATATCAACTAATTTTTATTGCAGCGCTGTAAATGTTGTTTCATGAAAACTAATTTAAAACATATTTCCGTGCCATTGTTCTATTTAAATAACATTAATGTTTTTAAAAATTTGTTATTATTATTACTGTTGTTGTTATTATTATTTTGTGGTGTACTTCTGATTTTTTTCTGAATACGCTCAGTTGGATGCAAGAAAGAAAAATAATTTACTCTCTACAGACGCTACTGAGGTAATATTTTGAAAATTATAAATGTCTGACCGATTCAGAAAATAATATTTTTGCATTCTCTAGTAAAATGTTGAAATGAATTCTAAAGCAACAACAACAACAGCAACAACAAACAACAACAAACAACAACAAACAACAACAAGTAATACTACTACTATAACAACTATATGAACCAAAGTGTTGAACCCGGTCATGTGTGTAGCATTTAATTTGAAGTTTTTTGCAACAAATTCAGCGAGAAAAATTATTTTAAATTGAATAGCTTCATTTCCGAATAGAAATTTTAAGTTAATCAATAACCCTTCTAAACATTCAAAATAATTTATTTTATTCCAGAAAACGCGAACAAATAAATAAAAATTATTTAAATGCACTGATTTAAAATGTCTTCTAATTTTACTTCTTGTTGTTGATAAATAAATAATAAGCAGCGAGGAAAGTGTATAGAGTTTACCAGTCGAAAGTTGAAAGAGTTCTCATTACAGTTAGCTCCTTTTTCATTAACGCTTCTTTCTCAGTGCACAGTAACAATTTTGGGTTTTCAACGAAATCTTCCTGCATTAGGAGTTAGTGTAACATGAAAAATTACATTAATTAATTGATGTGAAGTAAAAAATTACATTAATTAGTTAATTGAATTACGCATATACAATTTCGATGAAAAATTACGTTTTTCAGGCAAACAAGCTCCATTCTTATCGAAAGTAATAAGGAGAAAGCCAAAAATATAAGAAATGCAAAGTTGCTTGACTTGGGCGAGGTCCTCAAGACGATGCGCATATCTTTTGTGACGTTTAACAATGACACCGATTGTAAATATTCATACATTTGCAAGAAAAGTAAGAAATTAATTCGGTGAAATACACTTAACTGTTCATTATTGCGCGGAGAACACAGCTATCCAACACGCGTTCTCAAATCTAATATTCTCTGTGTATACAAAATACATTTGTTTCACAGATGTTTCACGCATATAGTGAATAAATACTTTGATTATACAAACACATGCATGTGTATATTGAATATTTGTACATAACTTCTCAAAGGCACTAGCACATTAAACCATTTTAATTAAATATCAACTCATCATAAAAATATGTAATCATGATTAAATAAAAAATTGGTTATCAAAAATTGTTAAGCAAATGATAAATTATTCTAATTACATTGATTTCTTGGCGATAAAGTTCTCTTCATTTAGGTTTCCATTCTAACGTTTTGAATGTTTCAACAATCAAAACAAGAATTTCGCTGACAACATTATTCAATGTATGAAACAATAAACGAAAGAGGAATCGTAATTTTCAAAACACTTTTTGCCCTTACATGCGCGTGTACGTGGCGGTGGATAACTTTTCACATTGTACAACTTGACGAGATAAATATTTTTATGGGCGTGAAAATTTGAGGAAATGCTTGCAGAGATTTGGTTGAGGAGACTAACGAGGTGGAGCGTGATGGGGCATGATGATTGATTCAACGTCCAGGGTTGCTCGCTGATCTGTCGGGGTGGTTGAGGCGTGCTTCAACTCGCAATTATCTTTTCATCTACGGTCTCAACATAAAGGTCAAACAATTCACTGAAATCACATAGTGATTTGCTACGAAGTTTGTAAAAAAGGAAAAAGATGTATTTTCATTTATAAGTCAATGTATCAAAATGGCAAAAAAAACAAGTTGACATCACAGAAGGTCAGCGTGCACAAATATTTAAAAAATGTAACAAATTAAGAACGTTAAGTTGAAGATATTTATTCAGTCTTTAAAATTGTCCTTTCTTAGTCTTCAGAGCTGAAAACGTGACAATTACTTCCTCAAAGTCTCTGTCCTTCACCAATTAATAACAGACCAGAAATTATTAACAGTTCCATGGTGGATCGTAAAAAGTTCTCTGTCAGCTTCACTTTTGAAAAGCTTCGCTCACATGGAGGCAACAACAAACAGAGCGTGAAAAATAATTGAACGTTAAAAGGCTGCATTATCGGAAAAAATAATAAAATTAATAAAGAACACTTTTACATAGTATGTTTAATGTTAATCAGTTATGTCATTCTATATATAATTTGGTCTGCACATCATCAAAACTATGACGTCGTACAAAGCGTCAAACCAAAGACTGTACATAGTTTGCAAAAAGCGCTTGACCTCATTAATTAACACGTTCGTAAATAAAGCCAAATGAGCCAAAAACGGCATAACGATGAATCAATAAAGATTATCACTATCATCTATCAGCTGTGTGCATCTACTGATTTCCTCACGACATCTCTCCAATGGTCTCTATTCTGGGGCCACTTCTTCAAGTGTCAATCGAGATTTTTCCCTTGTAACTCTTTATTTGGACAATCCTGCCCTTTGTAGATCTTCATCCAAGCAGTCGATCCATCTTCGTGGTGGTCTTCCTTTTTGTCTTGCCTTTTGTGGTTTATCCATCATGGCTTCCTTAGTTAGTTTATTTGAATTCATAAGCAACAGGTGGCCTGCCCATTCACTTTTGCGCATTCTGATTACCTCGGTTATGTATGGCTGACCTGTTCTACGTCTAATCTCTTCATTTGGAACTGATAACTGATTTTCGTGATTTTTCGCAGACGTCCGTTTTCAGCTGCATTCAGTTTATTCTTCATAGTTTGTGTTAAATTCTACAAATTCGCTTCATGTAACAAAATCGGTAACACACGTGCGTGGAAGATTCTCATCTACAACTTTTGACTGATATTGTGTCGTTTAAAAATTTTTTCATGCAGTTTTTTGAACGCAACGCCTTTGACAGAAAATCATCTTTTCACTTCGTTAACAGATTTTTTATTTGCATTTAATTCATTTCCTAGGTAGACAAAATTGTTGTTCATCTCTATTAATTTTTTATCAATTTCAAACTTTAGCCACGGTCCCCATGTTTTTTCGGTATTTTTTAAATTTACCTTTGCAAAATTTTTTGCTTTCTCTAACCAGATGTTTAACCAAAATTTATAATTTATCAAATGAGTCTGTTGTTAAACAAGTATCATTGGCATGTTTCAAATTCTGACAGCATGAGGGAAAAGATGTCACCAAATCGTTATATAATCGCTCCACTTTCATAGTATATAATTCAAAATTATATTGAAAATGGTCGGTGACAAAATACATCCTTGTCTGAGACCAGTCATTAATTTAAACCATTCGGTTTTTTCACCGACAATTTTGACGCACGACTCTAAACCAACGTGTAAACCTTTTACTATTCATATTATTTTTTCATCAATTCCATATCCTTCTAATATCATCCATGCTCCCTTCTTTTTATATAGAATCGTAGGCTTGGGCAAAATCTACAAAACACATCATTAGTTCTTCATTATGTTCCAAATTCATTTTAATTCGCAGAAAAAAAATCTGATCAGAGCAACGCAACTTCTCCTTTTTCTAAAACGGGATTGATTTTATCTCAACTGTCTATCAATTTTATTCGTTATTTGTTCAAAAATTCACGTATGAAAACTTTGCCGCTCACGCTCAGTAGAATGATGTCTCACGAATTACTACAATCCATTTAATCTTTTATCGGTGTCTTTTTCCAGTCATTTAAAAATTTGTTCTGACTTCTGAACTGTCGATATCACTTTGTTTAACCAGACAATTGAACAAGGGCCAGTACTTTTTAGCATTTCTGCGGCAATTTTGCATATGCCAGGGGCGCTACCATTTCTCATCTGTTTTGATGTTTTTTCACCTCCTCTACGGTAATTTTATCCTGGCAATTATCAGCATTTGTCATATCTTTTCCGCTCTGCTGTTTGATTCACGAATTCATCTATTGCATTTATTGTTTGATGAATGTTTTGCGGTTCATTTCAGTTTAGAAGTTCTTGGAAGTGTTCACGCCATTTGTCCAAAATCTTTTCTCTTGACGTGATTTTTTCTCCACCGTCTCCTCTCTGCAGATCAATTAATTTATTGCCAACGCTTCCACAAACTTTTTTCATGCCGGCAAATAGCTTCTTATTATCTCCTTTTTAATTGGCTTTTTCTTTTTTCAACACTATTGGTTCCACAACGTTGATTCTGTCAACAATGATGCTGTTTTTTAGCTGTATTTTTAAATCAATAGACAACGAGGTGAGATTCAACACTAGAAAAAACAAATTATTAGATATTTGATTTTCAAAACAAACAAGAAACAAAACGCATTCGTAGAATTTAATAAAAAACTCAAAACTTTTGTGCAATTTAAAATTTAGTGGTTTGTTGAGTTAGAGATTGCGCAGTAGATAAATTAAAATTTTTATTTTCGAACAATCTAGACGACACCTTATGTTCTGAATTGTTGCACTTAAAGTCTATTTAACCATCTCAAACCATAATTCAGTTAAAATACTCTGATTCATGTAAGTGGATAAGAATGAATGAGTTGTAGTGAGTATATCCAAATGTAAACATTGCGCTTCAGATGCACTTTGCACACCTGCTACAAACTGTTTGGCCATAATGGACCGTATCACCTTCTGACAGACACGTTTATCTTCTTAAAGTTATTTTAATGTAAAAGTCACCTGCATCATCGATGTAGGGCTCTTGTGACATTGGTGGAGAGACCCATCAGTATTAGGTGATGTGTGTGGACCATTACTAAATGATGAATATCCTCACCAATGTTTTAATAATGCAGACATATTTATTCTATTGCAATTTACAGGTTTCTAACGTTTACTGTTCAATTTTAATATAAAGCAACAGAAAATAAAACGCATAATTTCTTTGTGTACAGGATTGAATGTAGACAATGCTGGCAATGATACACACATTTCATTGGTTACAACGAAGCAACATCTGGCAACAGTGTGGACCGAACGGTAAAATTAGCTATGAACATGAACTGGATTGTTACGAGACATTTTTATTCTGGTTTAAAACTTTGTACTTAGGTCATGATGTCATCTATAATCTATTAATAATAGATTATAGGTCGTTGAATTGGGGTGGTCGGGTGTGACATAATTATTGGCTGAGGGGTCAGCTGAGCGTGACAGGATGTGACAGGGAAGAGGAGGGATTGAAGAACGGCGTAAAAAGCTTGACATAGTTATTGAATGGCTCCTATAATTTTTCATGCAAATATATTTTTATATTATGGTATATTAAATATGCCATGAAAATGTTATGGAAATTATTGTTTTAAAGCTAATTTTGTCTTTAAAATTGACATACATTTGAAGCGGCAAATTATGGATGCCCACAGGCCGCAAAAAGTAAGTTTACCACAGAATGCATACAATCTGGTATACATACAATCCGGTATACATACAATCCGGTTTGCATACAATCTGGTATACATACAATCTGGTGTACATACAATCTGGTATACATACAATCCGGTTTGCATACAATCCGGTTGGCTTAAAACCTGGTACTCAACTTTCATCCGCCTTAGTTAAATTAAAAAAGCTACCGGTAATTTTTTCATGAGCAAGAAATTGCAACTCATATAAAAAGCCACGCTTTAAAAATGAAAGCAAACGATTGACATTGCACGTTAATGTTAACTTCGTTTGTTGCATATGATGTTGGGGAAATTACTTTTTTTTAATTTTCCATTTCGGTTAAAACATTTTCATTTTTGTTAGTCACTCCCGTCTTGCATTGCGAGGTTTCACCAAATTAAAAATTGTTTCAAAAAATTGTATAAATAAGTAATATGTTAAAAATTTATGAAATAGGAACTAATTATAATAATTTATGCAGAATTATTTGCACAAAACCACTGCTATAAAATTATTTTGAATATGACACTGTTTAAAATATAATAAAAACATTTTCAAAGTCATTAACAATTCAGTGTAAAATATTTCAAAGTTCAAATCCAATTTTATTTTTAATAACTAAATCATTTAAAATATATTCATGGGTTTGAAAAATGTTATTCTAAGTTTAAAAACAAAAAAAGTTCTTCAAAATACCTTTTGTTTAATTCATAAAGTATAGTTTAACGCTTCATGTAGAAACATGTGCAGTGAAATCACGTATACCAATTTTTCGGGAAATAAAAACACATTAACAATATAACATCTACAACTGATTTAATGTTAATTAATACGATTAAATTTATAGCTAACCCCAATGACCCGGGTATTCATATTATACGTTATATTCCCACACGCATGTTATGTTTATAAATAATCGCTGATATTTTCAGTTTTAATATGAAAGCCAAAAGGCGTTATGTATGTAAGTTATTTATCAGACTATTTATAACAATAACATAATTTATAATGATGATGTCACTACAAATAAATGATAAAAGAATAATAATAAAACAACGTCAACAACAACAATAATATTAAACAATAATAGAAATAGTAGCAAAAATAGTATTAATAATAAAAATTATAAAAATTAGATATAGGACAACAAAATCCTCTACTTCTGAATTTTCCAAAACTTCAACTCAACTTGTTAATCCTCAAGCATCTGTGCAGTGCATCGATCAAAAATGAAGTTTATGTGGCCCATTTGTTGGTTGTGTCTTTGTCTCTGTAGCATGAGTGTGTGCGAGTGTGTGTGTTAGCGTGTGTGTTTATATATATGTGTGTGTGTGTTAGCGTGTGTTTGTGTGTATATATGTGTGTATGAGCATAAGTGTGCGTATGATGAGCTTTCACATGTGTATTTTTATAAATGAACGTTCACGAATATACGTGTTTTCTTGTGAAAAATCTTCTTCGGTGCGTGCATGCATTATTATGTTATTGACGTTGGCGTTCATTAGTGTTGAAAATGTTTGATGAATGGAGCCACTTTCTTCCTACATAATCTGGTTAACATAACCTCTTGGAGTTAAATTCAAACTTGCGATAAAAAAAATTAATAACACACGTACCGGCATCTAAAATATATACTCACATGTTTATATTGGTATCAATATGTATGTTTTTATATATATATTGACATTTATATAACTTGTGATGAGAT